GGTATCTTAATTTGAAGTAAAAAATATTTTCAGATTATTCACATTAAAAAATAAATTGGTGTTGACCATTTCCGATTTCCTGAACTTCCATGACAATTTCTTCATTTTCCTTGACTTCAACCAAAGTTACATTACTGCATGATCCGCCTCAGCTCCCACACATTTCTGTGCAACAAGTGTTGCTTTAAAGCAGCTGCCATTACTTTTGCAAGCCTTTTTGCAGTTGCAGGATCCATTTTTAAATCTGATAGTATGCTCGATAGACGATAAGCGTGTTGTTTAGCAGCACCAGATGTTGCAGGGAGGGATGGGATGTTAAATTTGGATTTTAATGACATTTTTGCAAAAGCTTTAAGTTACATTGAATATCTACTGTCATTCACAGACCTTGTGCATCCATATTTGTTTCAAGAAAAAAACTACCTCTTTGAGAATATTTTTGTCTGCCTGTTTTTCATAAAACTGTCATTTGATGAACTTAGCAATTTGTACGCGTTGATTTTGGAAGAGCAATAGTGTCTCCCGACTCCCAAATTCAAAGTGTGAGGCCTACAGTTGTTGTCGGACAGGATACAGATCTTTTCGTTCTATTCTTAGGGCTACCACAGTGCCAAAATGTACAACTATTCTTTCACAAACCCTCTGGCATACCATCAACCTATGACATCAACAAGACCCGTGAAGAGATTGGTGATATGAAGGATGTGATATTATTTTTTTTATGTTATCACAGAATGTGATACCAGGTCTTCTTTATTCGGCAAAGGCAAAATCAACGAGAACAAATTGCTAAGTTCATCAAATGATCGCACAAAAGCTTAACAGTTTTATGAAAAACAGGCAGACACAAATATTCTCAAAGAGGTAGGAGAGGCTTTTTTCTTGAAACTATATCGATGCACAAGGTCTGCATGTCTGAATGACAGTAGATATTCAATGTAACTTAAAGCTGTTGCAAAAATGTCATTAAAATCCAAATTTAACATCGCATCCCTCCCTGCAACATCTGGAGCTGCTGAACAACACGCTAATCGAGCATCTATCAAATTCAAAAATGGAATGGAGTCGAGGAAAATGAAGAACTTGTCATGGAAGTTCAGGAAATCGGAAATGGTCAACACCAATTTAGTTTTTAATGTGAATAATCAGAAAATATTTGTTACTTCAAATTAAGATACCGCAATTATTTTCTTCTAAAATAACATAAACAAAATATGCATTTTCAAACAAAAAACTATTTACAATACGTTTTATAGCTGTACCTATACAAGGACTTAATTAATATTTGACACAAATTTAAAAAGGGTGGAATTTAGGTTTGACTGAGATTCGTTGGGTTTAGTTTAGAGAAAATGCAATAGTGTACATTAAAGTTAAAAAAACACCCACTATACAACAATATTAGCATTGCAACGCCGCGCCGCCGGGCCCACCTCGACGGAACCCGCCACGACTGGGTACGCATTCTGTACTTACACCGGCTGAATCTCGCAGGCTCTTAAACAAAGTAAGTACTATTTCATATCATTTTAAAGGTAATAATGGGAGCTACTTTTGTAAGAAACATTTTTTGATAAAATGTCGGCGTGAACACTTCTGCTACAAAAAGTAAAAATACGTGTCGAAAAATATACCACTTTTTACCTTTTCATACGAATTACAAACAAACGGTAAAAGTTACGACGAAAGTCAACTGAAACTTATTTGTAGACAATGTTATAGCAAAGAGAATAAAACAAATTGCAGTCCGATATGTTGTTTAGTAATCGAGAGAGACGCGATTTACGAAACCCCTACACTTTTCATGTTTAGGGTGGCACAGGGGGGAAAGCAAGGGGGGTAGAGGCGGGGACTTTTGGCTAAACACTTGTCTAAATGGTAGTAGTCGATGAGGAAAAAATTAGCTTTATACTATTTTTTTCCCACTAAAAACACAGGTTGACTGGACTATGTTGATTTGTGAATCATAATGTCACATATTCCCAAGACGAAAAGTGTACTAAATGCATATTTATTGTAGGTACATTGGAAATAATTTTTGATTTCTAAAACCTTTTTCATTCTATCAGGATGCTTCAAGAAATTTGTTTAGGAAGGTATCAAATAGTAGCCCAATTTTTAGCTAAACCCCTAGGCGGAATACGACTGTACCAGTAATTAGAACCATTTTAGCCGCAAATTTGTTCTTGTGTAGAAATGTGGCACCGTTTTGATTTTTTAGACTAACGCATGACCACCACACAAGCGGGTAGCACAGTATCACAATTCGAGTCGAGACTTAGAGGCAAGTGTTACTTATTTTTTCAATATGATCAGATATCAGGAATATCCGCTTATCAAAACAATAAAGGAACGACAAATTTCGATTTTTACATATAAATTGGCAAGAAAGTTGCGCCCAATAGTTTTCACATTCTGAGCCTACCATTTCAAAGAAATTCGATTGCACTTGTTCATTTTAACTGTTACAAAAAATGTTCCAATTCCCCTTTTTAGCTAAATTTCTAAGCGGGATACGATAACTAATAGGCGACACTGACAAATTTATTTAAAAAAGTGTCATTGTTTTGCTCATGTCAAGTCAAGGTAGTGAGACATCACGAAAATGAATATTTGTATCAAAACATGGGTGAAATTTTGGGTTTTCCCGGTAATTAGTGGTGGGTAAAAAAATTCTCCCACTTCTAAAAAATTTCAACTATTTATTTTTTCCGTTTGAGAATATGATGGAATCCCACAAACTTCACATCAACTTAGCGAATATGAACTGATATCATCTCGGATCTTGCCTCTCAGAAAATAGAGGATCAACCGCGGAATCAACAAATTTTACAACTGAATTCTCAATTTAGGACAAAAAAGTCATCTTGCTGCACATATAAGATGTTCGGAAAAATTCTACATGGGTTGTGCATAAATATAAATAAGTATAACGCTAAATGTACAATTATTATTTTTTGAAAAGATTTATTTAAAAATCGGTATATGTTATACTTTTAATCATTGTAACAGAATTTTAAATGTTAGCTACCATTTTTATAAAAAAAATACATTTTTTGTTGTTCTTCACCCTTATTGTATAAGAAAATAAAGAGATTTATTTTAGGTGTTCGAAGTGCCGGTTTATTAGGTTCTACCATACCTAAGTCCTAAGTGAATTCATTCATGCACATGTCTATCTAATAACTATAAAAATCTATAAATCATTAAAATTGATTAGAAAAACTCACAGGAAATAAAGGGGTAATTAAACATGTTAACAAACAATGCTAATCTAGTCCACTAATGACCTAAGAACCAGGTAATTTACAGAAGGTGTCATTATAGAAAAATGCAATAAATGCATTGAGTAAGTAATTTACTCAATAGTAAAAGAAATAGGCATTTGTGCACCTCCATTCAAATATTGTACAGCTTTTCGCTAAACTTGTTTACATAATATTAGTCCTTGACCATTATACATGGTCTATTGTGTTTAACAATAAATGAAGAGAATATGCAAAACTGGAAAGGATAGAGATACATCGTTGGTCTCACTCAAGGAGTAGGTACATCGTCTAGAGATGTGTATTGTTGGTGGTCTAACCAATTGCAATAACATTGAAATACAAATTGACTACAGAGGAGCCTTATCCTTTGAAATAAATAATAAATAAACGTAACGATACGTTCTGTTCAACTTCTAAAAAAACAATTACTAAAGCAAAACCGGTACTTCGAGTCTGCACGCCCGACATTAATTGGAAGAGTCCTAACTTGCTTGTGAAATCCAAAACCGGAACGTAACATAAATGGAGATTATTGTTGCTAGTACTCTGAAGGAGACTAAAATATCCAATTAGAATATGACAGCAAAACAAAATTCGATCAAGGATTGAAGTACTGGTGAGATTATACAATACAAGTACGTTAACAGTTTAATTAATCCTAATTATATGTCCCATGAAGAAGAAACTATCCAATAATTACTAAATCATTTTAATTCCAGAGTCAGTAGTTATTCGGATTGACCGATTGACCCATTTAAAAGTTGATCTTGCATTCCCATAACGAAATGGCCGCCCTCTGGTCTTGATAAGAGTAATGTTGATAAGCCCTAAAATTAATGTGGACGTAAGGTTAAATTGGGAATTTCCGCTACTTGAAATTTAAATCGGAGCCCAAAATGAGAAATCCACAACAATTAACTTGATTCAACGTTGAATGGTAACATCCTAAACAAGTACATGGCTGCCACTTACGTACTAATGAATCCAATTATATCCTCCGAACCGGAGAAACTTGAATTGTAAAACAAACTTTACGTTGTCATCCCATGCAGAGAACTCTTGGTGGCGGATATGCTACCTAAGCTTATTCCTATTTTGCAGCATATCGCTACAATCAAGTGATAAAACGATTGACCGTTACACACCAAAACATATTACCAAACTGTTTCTAATCGAATGCCATTATCAGGTGTGATAAGATGATGTAGGGTGCATCGATATGTGCCGACAAATATTTAACTAATGTATCAAATGATTCGAAGTATGAGGAATGTGTTTCTAATATACTGCTGTGATATTTCGTCTGGCAGGACGAAATTTTGGGATTCTTAACTAGAATGGACAAGGGCGGTTTCCGTGTAATTAATTTTCATAATTTAAATTTTTGTTTTGTATCGTTCGTTAAGTACATCAATAGAAATTATTGTTACGAAAAAGAGGCCAAGGTTTGTACTGTTTACATTTTAATCTCATCTTTGATTTTATTTAACGTAGTTTTCTGAGAATTTTATATCGCTTTTATTTTGTTATCATTGTAAACGCTTAATTTAATTGACAGGTGGATGTTATTTATCGCCTTTTCATTAAAAGATAGAAAATTCTATTTTTCCTAGTATTTTAATTTTGTGTTATCTCTTAATGTCGGTTAAAAATTGATTATAAAAATAATTTCTACCTCTGGTTTAACGTAAGTTAGGGGGGATATTTTCTGTTGGCAACTGCTTATCATTGGTTGTTTTAATTTGTAATTTTGGAAGAAGGGTTTCCACCTTAAATAGAACGGACTGAGAAGAGGAAGGGCTTTTTGCCAGAATCAACGCATAACTACGTTTCTTTGTTTGGAAATTTGAAATCAGCGTCTTGCGAGTTAAGAGCAGATCCACATTTTGTTGAAGTTTAAAGTTTGTTGAGTGAAGTTTGTTTATTTCGCTTCGGCGAGTTACCGCAGTAGTTTGGATTTGTGTAGAGGCCAGCAGTTTTTGGAAGTTTAGAGTTTCCGTTTTACGGAGTGGAAAGCCGAGTTTGCGGCAGTTTTTGGAAGTTTAGACCTTCAGAAAAGTGCGTCACTAAGGTGTGTCGGCGCCGACTTGAGTGTTGTTTTGTGTAAATTTGAATTTTGTTGTTTTTTTTGTGTGTAACGTACTGGGATTAGCAGTTTTGGACATGTACCGAATGTAAATAAGATTAAGTTTTAATTGTAGTTTTTTTCTTTGTAATAATTGTTTGTTTTCCTTGTTGTTTTTTTTTTATTGTGTAACCATTAAAACAAATTTGTAATTCTCACATTAATTTCTGTGTTTGTCTTTCGAACGATTTCATTCCCTTTAATTTACTGTTTTCCTTGGATACTTGCCCAAGGTCCATTTTATTTAATCAAAAATATTAGATTCGAGATTAGATTGATTTGGAATTTAAGGTATTTGGTCTAACCCACTATCTAAGAAAAGAGTCGAATTCCTCCTCTGTGCTGGGGAGAAGTTTTGTCCCGAGAAATATAAGAATTTGAGCTAGCTAGGTTTTGTTAGGTGTTGGGTACGGTCTTTTTGGCCTACGGACCGGTATACACGGCAATACTTAATAGGGGTTTCCAACCAACCTATAGTTTATAGATGATGCAACAGTCTCTATGCAGACTCGTATGCAGAAGATGCTTGTATTTTATTAAACATCTAAATTTTAACTTATCAAGAATTAGATCTGGCACATCATTTTCATATACACCTGTCATGTATAAAATACGGAACAGCCCTCGTACGTAAATGTACGTAAATGTTAAGTTCCACTCAATTAAAACATGACATCCTTAAGAACGCGTTTGACAAAGGACACGCAAATAGGGACATTTTATAAATGACCGGTATTACAGATCTAGATTAATGACTCAATTTCCTTTCTTCCTCACATACAGAAGTAATACGCTTTATTATGTTAGTATATGAAATGACCAACTTGTAACTCAGAGCACAGCGTCCCATTAAATTCAATCATGATTTAGACACTGGCTAGAATTTTGAGGTCGGCTTTTGTACAATGCTTGTCATGCATTTTCAGTGCTGAATTATTAAAGTTGCGGTTTTAATAAATCCGACGGTATGGCTTAGTTTTCAACGCGATTACAAAATTTGCCCTTTACCGCACACACCCGATCTGTTACTGCACCCTCACGTAATAACGATTAAGGAAAGCGATTTCATATGACTTCATAAACAACATAATGTTAAACAGTGTTATTACCAACTCTTGCATGGAGATGGAGGCGCATTCTTTCATATTTGAAATTAAACGTATTATGGCAAGTTGTTAAAACGTTAAGCCAATATTCACGCTGCCCATTGCAAATATTGTAAGTAACGTCACGGAAAACTCCTTTCAGAGGACACAGAGGAACACTAGATGCATAAAAAACATGTATAAATTGTGCCCAACTCTTGTGCAGATAAAGCGCATTTTTTAAAACCGAAATAGCTTAGTTAATTGTTGCTTTTATATTAGCATGCTATATTTATCGATGTTTTCTTTCTTGGTAAATGATTAATTGGGAGGGGGCTCTTTACATATAATGATATAAACATTTAAAGGTCGTCTGGCATACATTAAAAATATACGTTATATAATGCAAAAAGAATTAAGTCCTTAGAGAAATTCTCCCAAATATTGCACCTTCCTCCAACATTTTCGACATCTTCCCAATTAAGTTTTAACATCATCAATAGATGTGTCGTCCTGACGTGCCACTTGCCCCTGAGTTCCTCTTCCAACACTTCGTGTTCAAGATATTCGCTTCGACTTCACCAATAGATTATGTCTCGTCCAGACAACTCATATACACCCCCAAACCGTTTTGGAGATATTCGCTGTTTTAACATCACCAATAGATATATTCTTCCAGGCGCCTTTTGTGAGTACTCTCCTCTGACAATCTGTTCTTGAGATATACGGAATTATTTATATCCGATTAAGATATGAGGTCGAAGAGGACTATGGTTCGTAGAAATTAATTCCTGTCGTTGAGACCTTTCATTAGAATACCATGAAGGGTAGAACGTGTGTTCACCTCCGCCACCCCACCCCTTTTCAAAAATTTTAATTGGCACCAACAGGTTGTCACAAGTTACGCACGTTTTACTTTCAAAAATAGTATCTCAGGAAATAATTCATGGGGGACCTCCCCTAGAGACAGCGAAATTTGATGACCGGCTGGCACACGTTCAAGGTATAATAATAATATTACTTTATTGCACTCATTAGAAAACATAAATAAATAAATCACGTCATGATGAGGTGCAAAGGGCGAAGTTCAGATCCTAATGCGAATCTGTTCTACCACTTAACCCATATATAAAACTAAGCGTGGTTTGCACAGATAACATTGCAAAGAGAAACACGAATATAAAAATAACAATAATTTAAACAGAAACATAAATGTCCAAGTTGTTTTTAAATAATTGAATAATTTAAACTGTTGGATCCAAACTATAATTCTTGTTCATTTAGAATTCAAGTTTGAAAATTGGGTAAAAATGGGTTTGTCAGAAAAACAATTAACTTAAATTCTCACATTGTTGTTTAAACAAAAAAGCATGATACATTCGTATGAATACAAAAGCAGAGAAGGCAGATGTATTATTAAATGGCAAAGAATTAAATAAATTAACCATATGAAAAGCATCTTTGAAACAGGCTAAGTATTGCAAAAAATTCCAAGACTCTAGGACCATTCCCGTAAAAGTAGAAGTGGGTCCGGACTCCGGACGGACGAACAAACGGACGGACAAAACGCAAACAATAACGCATTTTTTAATTATTAAAAAAGGCGCTAAAAATGAACAGTATCCATTTTGAGGTATAGTTTATTTATTCATTTATTTATTTATTAGTTTCTTCAAAACTTAACTTTTCCGCATGTTAGCATCTGATTCCCAGCACTTTCCTTTTATTGTATTTACTTCTCAAGCATCGCTTGGCCTTTTATTGAACGATTTTTAAAAGTTTTACTTGTCACCACCAAAGGCATGCGTATGCAAAATCTGAGATCAATTGGTTATCGCATGTAAGTTTTTTTTTATAATGAACATAAATATAAATTTGAGTATTTCAAAGGAACTTGTGGTGGTTTAGGATAGTTGTAAAAGGTTTACTACAGCTGTCAGTGAGGCCACAATTGGACCTTAAACTTTGGTTCTGTAGACCGCAAGCTATTTCAACACTTAATACCAGTTTGCGTTTCCGCAGCAAATCCGTCTTGAGTACTGCCACTTATCCGTGAGTACGTATACGTACCTCACCACATCTGACCTATACCACAAGTCTGTGTTTTGATGTAGCCCCTATCCAGTTTAGTAGCCATTTAACCACAGTTTCTTAAGATTATTTCACTCCTTGAATCACTCTTTGAGTATAAAGGTTTCGAAATGACAACAGCTTTTAATTCTTTAATTTATTGAAAATTTATTTCTTGTTAAATGTGTGAGTAGATTGTAAATGAAAAAAACTGTTCATTTCCAAAATTTTAATTAGGCAGCAAACCTAATTATCTCCTATTATGTGTTTAATTTACCTTGTTTTTGTACTACTTCAAATAAAAGAATTGGTTGACAACGATCACAAAAATCACAAAAAGAAACTACTACAAGACTGTAGAAAAGCCAGAGTTTTCCGGAACAAAACCCCGAGCCTACAAACGAACTTGATCACGTGCTAAAAGAGTGTGCGAAGTTAGAAGAACATCTAAAAATCGAAATACTTCAAAACGATACAATGTTTTGCTGGAAAACTTTCTACGGAACAAACATAGCACACTAACCAATCCACCTAATCCCGTGAATGTGCCTCCAATTTACGGACCCTACAAAACACATTTGTTTGTCTACGCTAAACTTTCACATTTTTTTCTAAAACTATTATATTGTAGGAATGTTCTAGAAATCCCGATAGACATCGAGGCGCCATACAAGCTTAGCGGCGATTAGAGACTAAGGCGGATGTGACGCATGCTTTCCGGGAATTATGACGCGCTTGTTCTAGAATATTCGAGGGCGTTCGGAAGCGTTCGAAAACTTTCGCGAAAGACCGCAAATCGAATTGTGCTTTGAGATAGTCACCATCGATGCGCTTGTGTTATGTCACAAATTGTGAGAGATAAATAATAATTAACCATTATAAATTAATCAGACTGTTATAAATTCGTTGTAAATTAATTGTAAATAAATAAATCACGCAATTAAATTTACGTTACAGTATTAAGCTACCAAGATATACATTGAAGAACGTCTACGTGTTTCATCTAGAAGCAAACCTCCTTTGCGTTGGGAGGGGCTTTTTGCATAATATACAGTAAAAATAAGAAACTATTCGACATCTTCCGACAGAGCGCAAAAGTACACGAATTTTAAACTATTTACCGTGTCGGCTGAACCGAGGAGGTTACAAGATAACGTGACACAACGACCCGAGTTCCGCCGTTTGTCTAAATTTTCAAGTTCGTAGATCTGAACTAGTCCGGTTAAAATTAAACAAGAGAAATCAGTGACCAATGTAACGTATGATGTAAAAACTTCCTTTTAACGATGTACCACCAGAAAGCTATTATAACGGTTACGATGATTTTAGAGCGACCAAATACTTCTATTCCGTATGAAAAGTCCACCGATCCTTTTACTAAGTAATGATGCTATTCATACATTTCTATTGAAATAAGTGAATTATGCACTCACTGCAGCCCGCGCTATTTAAAAATGATAAACCACCTAACGTGTAAATGACAGTAAAAATTCGATCCTGGAAATAATAGTAGTAACTAGTATGAAACAAAAAAGTCAAAAATCCATTAACTTCGCCGGTTAAAATAGGTTGGTAGGTAAGCAAAAAGTAACTTGATAGCAAAAAATTACAACATTACATGTACAGCTTTTCATCCGGAGCCGGTTTACCTTAAAATTGAATAACTGTATCGAATTTCCAAAAAAAAATTGTTTAACCTTAATAAATTGGATTTCCCGTTTTATTTATGAAATAAAAGGTAGGCTTCCCACAATTCCCACGCAACTAATATTGGCTTTTTATATCGCTCGCATTTAACTTTGCTGAGTATGACATCTTTCAAATTCAATCAAAATTTGCTGAATGGTACTCAATAGTGATGGATGATGTTATTTAAAACATTTATTTTCAGTTGCTATTTTACAGCGTATTTCGTATGCCTTCGATATACCTAATATTATTTGACGTTTCACAAAAACTTGAAGCTGGCAAATATTTGCCGTACATGTAAAATCCTTTTTTGCTGGTGGTGTGTGATGTATTATAAGTACGGTTATATTATGTTTATACAATCGATCAGATATATACGTCATTTTACCGCATTTATTCCAACCTTGGATACGTCTATTACCTACAGTTCGTGTAAAATCGTTTGGTATGATGACCGTAAGTGTTTCCTGTACTAACATAATAACTTCGAGTGGTAACTTATTAGTATGTGGCTTACACACAGCACAGGGTTGCATATAGTCATTGAATAATTTAATTTTTTATTCAATGGTATAGTATAGTATAGTTTACTATACAGGGTGTTACATGACCGTATGTTGAAAAAAATGGGTGATAGAAAGATTCAAAACAAGCACTTATTTCAAATAAACCGAGGGTCTAACGTGTTTCGTTTGAGAAGAACCCTCAAAGAAGTGGTGAAATTTGGATTTCATTTTTATTTTTTTCTCAGCAGCCATAAGAGTTACAAAGATGGGACGTCTTTGAATAGGTTTTCGGGTATGCTCTACCCGATTTTGAAAATAATTTTTTTTAATTCCTACCATGAAGGTGCGCAAAAAATTCTGATTTCGACGAAATTGGTATCTCGGGGTTTTTGAACATGAAAATCACGAATCTGGAATTAGTTTTTGAAAATTCGAAAAAAAGTTTCACTGCAATTCTTGACCGAATAACGAAAATTGTAATAATTCCACTAAGTTAGTTGTGTACATTCTTGATGAGATAAGGAACAAAATTGTCGAACAGTTTTTTAAAATAACAAAAGTTATACTATAAAATGAAGATTGTGCCTTCGGGTTACAAAGTGTCCCCCGCCTACTAGTGAGTGATCTAATATCGCATGTAGTTAATTGAAAATGTCGCAAATAACAAAAAAATATTTAAAATATTTAAGTCGATATTATGATTAAATGATCACAAAAAATTCGATAAGTCGATCATGGTATGCAAGTCTGCAAATTCGTTCCAAAAAGTCCGTGGCTGCGAGTGGTGGGATAATGCCTTTTAAGTATCGTAATATCGACTTAAATCGTTATTTTTTTCTTATTTGCGACATTTGAATATAACTTTTGTTTGAAAAGTTATTTCTTCTACAACTGTCAAAAAAACCTGTCATTTTCTGACGAATTTCGAAACGCGAAGTACTACATTTTTAAACGGTTAATTAATAAGTAAGGTTGATCTTGACAACGTGCGCGAAATCGTCAACAGTGAAAAATAGTATTTCGCGCACATAACAAAGTTGAACTTAAACGGCAAATTTAATTAACAATCGGTTCATTTGTAGAAAAAATATTGTATATAACGCTAGCGCGAAGTTATTACGCGCATTTGACTGATATTTTGACTCAGCTTCGTCTCGTCAAAATACCTTCAGTATCAATGCGCAAAATTGAACTTCGCGCTCTTGTTATATAAATAACTATTCAACAACTGTTCGACAATTTTGTTCCTTAACTCATCAAGTATGTACACGACAAATTTCGTGGAATTCTCTCCATTTTCGTCGTCCGGTCAAGAATTGCAGTGAAACTTTTTTCGAGTTTTCAAAAACTAATTCCAGATTCGTGATTTTCATGTTCAAAAATCCCCAGATACCAAATTTCGTCGAAATCAGAATTTTGCTTCGCACAGTCAAGTAGGGGTGCGCCCTTTCGTGGCAAGAATTTTGAAAAAAAATTTTCAAATTTCAAAATTGGATACCCGAAAACCTATGCAAAGACGTGGCCCCATCTTTCTAACTATTATGCTGAGAAAAAGCTGAGAAAAAAAATTAAAGAAGAAATCCAAACTTCCCCACTTCTTTGGGGGTGGCTTCCAAACGAAACACGTTGGACCGTCGGTTTATTTAGAAAAAGTGCTTGTCTTGATCCCCTCTATTACCCATATTTTTACATGCAGTAATGCAACATGTATAGAACATCTACTGCTTTTAGCCTTATTACTGTAAGATCCCACATAAGGTCAATCTTCCCTCATCTGTTTATCCAGTGAAATACATTTTTTGTCGATATTAAACTGTAAAGAAACACATTGCAAATTGGTTGCCTAGAAAAATGAAACAAAAGACTATCCTTAATTAAAATTAATGTAATTAACATTTCTGTCCGCTTCTATCACATTTATTTATTTATTTATTTATTTATTTATTATCCCTCTCTTGTTCTAGGCCCTCAACAGGCTTGCGTTCAATTACAGAGTGACCCGCATAATGCATGGGGACAGCGCATGCGCACTCTCTTACATCGATGCGTACAGCACGAGCAGCTGGTACGCAGTGTCCTTTCGCCGTTCTATTTATCATTTAGTAAGGAGATATTGCATTAGGGTAAAAAATTACCCCCACTTTTTTTACGGTAATAGCACAGACAGAGTATTTTAATCTGTGGTAATAGGTACACGTTTATAAACATCAGGAATCCGAATCAAACAACACCTCGATGATCGGTCGATCGGTCCGTCTGTACTCTCATTTCCGGCTAAACGGCTGAACCGATTGGAACCAAATTTGGGACACATATTCTTAGACATAAAAGGGCAGAATCGTGCATACGCAGGTGTGCGGGTGGTATCTGTGCTAGCCATAGCAAAATATTAAGCATAGAGTAACTGTATACGAGTAGGTTTAGATCGTCCTTTGTGTACACTGCACAGAATAAGGAAATTGGAAAAAGCTCTTTCGAGTCCAACCAGAAAAGAATCGATCATTTCGGATCGTGGCAAGGATACATTTCGGAAAAAGGTTAATAAAATAATGCAAAAAAATGAATTTTAATTACCTCAACGCATGTACACCTAATTGAATCATAAAATAAATCTATACTTAGGCGGTATTTTTTGTCATTCGAATATTTTATATGACTTGACTAGAAGTATTCGCGAGAGTATTCGTGATCGAAGTTTTATTCTTGATTTCATTGCTAACGTCCATATTTGATTCGCTGCGTTTTATAAGGATGGAGCACAAACTCTTGTGCAGTTTTGGTTTGCTTTAATTGACATCAAAACGTAATGGCTTTGTACCACATATATCATCACTTCACAAAAAGCTTTCAAACTGTTGAAATCTAAGAAGCAATTTGTGCCCTCAAACAAAGTAGGTACTTACGCAACTTCCATTTGCTCATTTATTAAAATTAATTTCTAAATAAAGGACAGCGTCTCTAGACATTTCAAGATTAAAACTTTAATTGTTACACTCTGTTTATGTTCATTAGAACTTGTGATGAAATGCAAGCAGTGTAAAAGCTAGGTATTATTTTCTCCGCACTAAAAGTTGTAATAAGCCGGTTATTTTTTAAACTGTAGCTAAAAAACGATATGTACACGCTTTATTTATATCTACAGAGAACCATAAATTAAACACGATAAATTAGTTTTGCAACTGGAAGACGTTATTCATTATTTGTTTGTAGTTTTCTCGACAGCTGATTAATTGCTCTTTTTATAAAGCAAGGGAAGTTATCTTTTTTGCTATCCAATTTCGTGTAGTAATTACCTGACTAGCAGAATAATATTTCCTTTGTCTATCATTTCCTACTCATTGCAATAGAGAAGGAATATCCATCTACAAATAATTTTTTCCTTAAGAATGTTTATTTTGGTTTGGAACACTCTCTATTAATTTAAACATGTTTTGTAATGTATGATCGTTAATACCCAGAGATAAATAACACAGTAATATTTGTACATGTATAGGCCAGAAAATCACAGCCTCTATAGATCCCGAATACACGAGTCCTGAATGATCATAGGCGTGCGGAATTATACAACTAAAGGTTTTTCATATGCTAACAATCAGAAGGACACATTCACACTTAGCAATAAAATTGTGTACCCCAATGCGAAAGAACAGCATAGAGTCTTAGTCTCATCGAGTTGCAATGAGATTCACGGGGTGTAATCAACTCTTAAAGTAGTAAACAAGAGTTGTAAATCAGCATATGCATGATCAAAGCGCATTTTTGGTAATACATATCAGTATTTTATAAGCAAAGTTTAAAACTATCGATCTCACAAGCAATCTCACTCAAAATAGACTAGAGCCCGCACTTCTACACTATAGCAGAAAGCTTTTAGTGAAAATTTGAGGCCTCTATCTATTTTAATTGCTGAGATCGCAGCCGGACAGCCAGCCATAAAGTATATGATAGCGTATTTTTTCAAAAATGCGCTAAAAATTCATAGCCAAGAGCCAACGCGAAACAACAATTGATGGGATCTCATCGACTTGCATAGTACCTACTTAGTAACATTCACAAATGCGTCGTGTCCGATTAGGGAAATTTATTATTATCATTGATTTTTTAAGTCCGAGTGGACATGAATATCTAAGTAGCTTCATTACTGACAATTGCTTAGATATATTCAACAGGAATAATATTTCCGAATAATAATCACATAAAAATCATGGCTAATGTATCTTTAAACTTAACCCGCCAATTTTGAAAAAAACAATACGACTATACTCTGTTCAATAGTTATTGTCCCAGTAAGAAGTTTGTTAGGGTGATGAAATTCACTGTGTATATGTGCTGTCACTCATTCGGTTATGTCCATTTTATACAAAATTATACTTTCCTGTCAATGTGCAAAACCTAGTTGCCAGATTTAGTTTTGGATTTTGTGGTAATTTTGTTATAGGTTAATACGTATAAATTTCATGAGAAACAACTTTCTCAATACGTTTCATACTTTGAGTAGTATATATTATAACTGTGGATTGCATATTATCGTTGAGTGTGTGATAATCCACCGTGATGGTTAGGCAACACACGTTTACAGCTGAAACAAAAATATAATATGCTCTGTACAGGGTGTTTACGGTCTTCTATTTATCCTTTTAAGGGGGGGTAGTACAGCTCAAAAGGAGTCGAAAAAACCCAAAACACCTTAGTAAAAGTTTTTAATAAGCGAGATAATAAATGTTTTATTTTTTATTATTAAACGATTAAACTGTGTGCACATCTAGCAATCTGCTACTTATTTAGCATTGTCTATTCTTCATTCTTCAATTATTTTTTAGTAGGTATCTTTACAAAAGTTGTTCGAAGTTATCACCTTCTTGTTGTATGCAAAGTCTGGCTCGGCGTACCCAGGACCCCACACTCTGCAAGGCCCAAACCTTGTTGACGAATTTCCGCCGCTGCTGCTAACCAACGACCGTTTTGCGCAGATGCCAAATACTAGGGGATTTTGGTAACGAAGCTAGGGGAGAATGGGGAGAAGATGGCGGCGAGGTCGACGGAAGGCACACGCTTTCCCGGTTTTTTATTATTCTTGATTATTTTTGGTGGTGGTGTTTTGAAGATGTATTTACAGGTAGTAACCATTTTATTCTTTCTTGTACTAGATATTTAATCATTGAATTTCTTGCCACGATGTGATATTTACATTTTGCTGATTTTGCATAAACTACGATATCTGAATCATGGCGTACTCCATGCCTTTGTTTCGTGTACCGTTAGATGAATCCTGTTTGTAATACTGTACAGATGATTATGCCATTATTTTGTTTAATTAAGTATTTACTTCTGTTATTCATGAGGAGTTGATTATCGGTGTGATGTTGCTTTGTTCGATTGACCCGTAACTATTCCGTGAGGGAAGTACCTAATACAGTTTGATTGTTCGCTGTATCTGTTACTTTCTGTTTCGTGGCGCGCTACAGTTCTTGTGCGTTAGCTATACGAAGGGGGGCTCTTGTATTTGATGTTTCGATGTTTGTGTGTGCGAGAGGGTAATTCTGTCTCCGTGGAGTAGGTACCTAATGCAGTTAGATCTGTCGCTGTATCTGTTGCCTACTCGTCTCGTGCGGATTGTAGTTCTTAACATCTTAGCAATACGAGTGGGGGCCCTCTCATTTACATTTCCTCTATTTAAAATATGTTCTGTTTGAGCGATAATCGATTTTCACCTGAATACTTGCTATTGACCAATGGCATTCTCACATGTACTTTTCATGTTAAATTAAATTATGTTAACTAAAGGATGGAGTAGAGCCACACCATTTACATGTTTCCTATGTACATGCAATTTATTTATTTTACGAGTTGTATTAGCTCAATTGATCGTACAGGTATTTTGATGTGTTTTTCTACTGAATTGATTTATCATGTTTTCCACTGCATTTATGATGTCATGTGTATTTTGTTTTTATGAACTTGTTTAATTGCATTTGATTTGATTATCTGATTTTTATCATACAATTTGAGATGTTTTATTTATGTATATTTTCTCTTGCATTTTATTGCTGTAGGTGATTTATTTCATGTATTGTGGCCTGTGCCAGGGTTTTAGTCCCGTAGAAGGTTTCCCTGGCATGGTCTTGTGTGTGCGTTAATATATTTATTTGATCTTGTCATTTCTTACGCACAAAAGTTCTGTCTTTTATTTAATTCCCTTCCCGATTATGTCTCACGTCCCAACACATAAAAGAACCGATTACACAACGTAGGAGTCCATTCCTGCCACCCATATCGAGCCGACTGTCATCCAAATTCAAAAGTGCCGCGAGACTACCATCGTTTCGACTTGAAAGGTAGGTGGCCCTGCTTGTAGTTTTTGCCAGAGTTGCCAACCGTAAGTATAGGGTAAGTCAACGTTTTCCGTGTCGGCTTGATAGACCCCCCTAGGAACATTACAAGTGAAAAATTAAGTATTCAATGACATTATATACTTCTTCGAAAATATAGCAAATTTTAATTGGAAAACCTTTTAGCAAAAAAATTATTAATTTGTACAGAAAGAAGCTTCAATGGGGTTAGAGCAAACCGAAAGGACTCAAAACCGCCCCCATGCAATTTAATTAAGTGTAAAAAGGGGGAGGGGGAGCACTAGGTAGGTACATGTTTCGACTTACGTCATCATGCTCTCCTCAATTCTTACCATTACCTTCTACAGTAGGTACACCCCCTCCCCTTTTACACTCAATTAAATTGCATGGGAGCGGTTTTGAGTTCTTTCGGTTTCTTCTAACCTCAAAACTTCCCATTTTGAGGAAATAATGGACTTCAAGTTACCAAAAAAGAAGCTTCAAGTTCAACACTTGATTTTCAAGCATTCGTCCATTACAAATGCACCTATTGCAATAAAGATAAAGACTCAAATTGTGTACGCACTGCTGACGAAATACACATTTCAATGAAACGGAATATATAACTAGAAACATAACCTTTGTGAGCTATGCGATGCGGCAAATACTGAAACATTACTTCTGGTTTTAGTAGTTAGGACGCCATTGACTATTACCGTTGAGTGAATGTTACCAAAGCGAAAGCAGGGCCGGAAGTAAATTCTCGCGGTCAATAATGACTTCTTCTCTCCCTCTTCATAACTCTTCGCTTGTTAGTTAGGCTTAGGTGGCGCCACTCGCAATTTATTTAGAAAACAACGTGTAAAACTTGGAGGTCCGTATTTACCTACGTCATCGTCTAATGATATTTCAAAAGGCCATGTATATTAATTAACTGATATATATTAACTACATTGCGTGAAAGAAAAAGCTGAAGTCCCAGTTAAAAACAAAGTTTAAGAGTAAGTTAGATACCTAACCTATATCATGTGTTTGAATTTCTTCATTTCAGTATATTAAATTACTTTGACTCTACCTTTTGCTCATTATAATATTGGGCAACATTCAAATGAGCTGAAAAAAATCGTACGTCCGAAAAGGGTTCATAGTTCATCTTTGTGGAAACTCAAAACTTCGCTGGCAAGTAAGTAACGTATCTCTGCAAGTTTTTTTTTTAAATCATATTTTTAGTGCAGTTTTAATGGTTTTGGTTGGCATGTTATTTACTTGAATTACCTACAAGAAATGTTGATCGGACACGAGAAGCTCCAAACGCCTTGCGAAGTTACAAAGAAGAATTTCAGTTTCATATACGAGTATTCTTTTGTATTAAGAATGAAGAGTGTTAAATGTTATTGTGTGTAGCTACGTAATTAAAATATGACAGAAACATTCGTACAAACTGCGCAATACCTACTTAACCTATAAATGTGGATAGGTACCTATTTAAGTGTATTTGTGCTAGGTATTCCACTTTTACTTGATTAAATTAGGTACATTCCTGTTAACATACAAGTAATTCTATTGGGGGATGGTTTCCAGGATAGGTACTCATTTCTTTGTCGCTTAGAATTTTAAACCTATAAATCTTGAAATTATCTAATACCTACAGCTCGGTACAGGAAACACTTTAATAAAAAAATATTATGTATGCAGGGTGTCAATTTAAAAACTTGCTGTCGGCCATATTTTCCAAACTAAAGAAGATATTGAAAATCGCGCAAAACCGTTTCGGTGGTATCGAGGGGGAGCCAGAATGACGTTTTGAGTGACAACCTCCCACCCCCCTTAACCCGCCAGTCAATATTCATTAAGACAATTTAACACAAATTTGGAGTGGACATTGAGGGATTTATGGCAAATTGGTCAAGAACTTCAACCTGAGCTGCTTCATTAAGCAATCTTGGTTGGTTTCTTTTTTTATTGATAACAGATCCCGTTTCTTCGAATTTAGCGACTAAATCTTGAACATAGACGTGGCTTAATTTTTATTTTTGTTTGTTTATTATTAAATTTTTGTTAAATTGTCTTAATGAATATTGACTTTATTGGTACCACTGGAAAGCAATTTTCAGTAGCTTTCCAACGATGTGTCACAAGGATGGGGTTGCCATTTAGGATTTTTGAAGAGGGGGAGCTGGGTGGTTANTACGATTTTAACAGAAGTTGCATCTTATAAATGGGAAATGAATGCAAGTGGAAATGCGCTTTATGTAAATCGTTTACGATTACTTTTTAACTTGTTTATTTTCCTAGCTTAAACGGTAGGAAATTGACGGCCTCACGTTACCGTTAGACCTTTTAGGGCACTTCTTGTATCTTGTCGGAGGTTCTGAATGTGTTACTTAGAATTTCTATTACACATATGTGCCAAATTGTATATGACGGTAAAGTACCCTATAGAATACCTAATCATCTGCACAAGTTATAATACAGGGAGATCAATAATCATATGCTGCGCCGCTCTTATAAAATATCACATTAGTAATTATTTGCCGCAACCAGGTATATGTGTACCAATACAAAACATAACCTATAATTTTACAAACCAAAACCATGATTTGTGATTCTTATTCGAATACTTTCGTCCCTTTCAAAACTGCTTTTTTCAAGACTACCAGTTTCTTTCGAATATTTACAAGGTGAGTAAATTACTTGTAAATTACAAACAAACGTTTTTTTAGTTGTAGCGTGTAATAGGCAATAGGTTTACTCGGACAAGCCTTTTACTTTAGAAGAGAATAAGATGCGTTTGCTGTCCTGTTTCCGTAATGGGACTAAAGACGAAAGTGGAGTTTGGGAGTACTCGATACGTTTGTGTATACAGGAGTTTCGATAAACGATTGTCAACCATGACGATGATTACAACAACATACGCCGAAATGCTCATCGTCTACTTGAGCGGTTTAACATACAGGAAGTCTTGCTTCTGGGAAGTCACCTGGCCGCTTAGTGATTGCGGCAAATCATTACTAACGTCATAATTTATTGAAGCGGCGCAGATTGATCGCACTGTATCTACTATAGTAAACATTGTTTGTAGGAAATTTAAGACACCGCCACCGCTATACCGGGTGGTGCACGGTAAATAGGAACATAGGGATTTAACATGAGAAATTAGTTTTATGCAATATCCTGCCCAGCCCTCCTGTACATTTTACAGAAACAATTGTAGAGTTTGTTGTTCACAATTAAAAGGTGCACACAAAACTGTTTTTACATGTCTTATTAAGCTTTTGGTATACCCGCAAATTGCTATTGCTACTAATAACAGAAATGTTGAAATTTATTTTTAAATTTGCGGGTATACCAAAAGCTTAATAAGACATGTAAAAAATTCTGAACAACAAACTCTACAATTTTTTTCTGTAAAATGTACAGGAGGGCATTATAATTGCATAAAACTAATTTCCCATATGTTAAATCCCTATGTTCCTACTTATACCGTGCTTATACCGTGAATACGTTACGTTCACTCATGACGCCTAGGACAAATATGTATCCAAGTACGATTAATAATCACACCCTTAACCTTAATCAACAAGATATGAACTTCACCAATTATACTGATAATTTGCGTATATCGAGCTCCACCTACTCTTTCATCATGACACATTCTGATGGATATATTAGTTGTATACGTCAACAGAAAAGTAATGGTATTGCATAAACGATCCAAATATGGAATAAAAAACGAGAAAAATTCAAAATTCCTCTTTATGTTGTGAAATGGGAAAAGGACTTCTATACATATAATTCCACTAATTCATTTGTTTAGTAGATTCCTAGGAATGTTGTACATAGGTAGGCACCTGTGTATCTACGAGCACAAAGCCACCACTTTCATTTTATTATGAAAAATTGGCTTGAATGTATATGACTGCGCAATATATCAACAAAGAATATAAGATGTTTCCGTGATTTATAGAGTTCATTTAAAAAGGGTCGTACTGGCGCGTTTGCATAAAATTCAATTAACAAACTGCCACGCATCTTTCCTCTGCAATACGCTTTATTGTTTAGTAAAAAATTGCAATAATAATGTAATATGCGAATAATAAATTACAAGGATACGGCTGTACTAAGAAAGATATAACTGCTGTTCCAATTAAAAATATAATTTATGTGCCCTATGAAGTACGTCGCCCTCGCCCTTAATAGCATATCCCGTTTATTTTATAAAATTATTTTATACCTACTTGGTGAAGTTACCTTCAATTTGGCAAAATGTACAACGTTATCGTAATAGCTTATATTAGTTGCTGTTCTGTTTATGCCAACATAAATTACTTACTTGGAAAACCCTCAAAATAGTGGTAGTCAATGAGAGATAACTTAAATTTTCTATGAGATACTTTTAAATTAAATCCCACTGGTTCGTTAAAAGCACTTTTGCGAGATTACCATAAAAAATACAAGATGAATTGGAATTGTAGTTATGTAAAATGCGCGCGCATGATAATTTTTTTTCATTACGAAGGCAAATAATAAGTCAAGAGCGATGTGGAAAGTAATCAATTCTAAACGAAATAAACGTGCTGCTGATGTACGATATCCAATTGAAATTCCAGGAAAAACACCAAAATTAAGGACAGCTATATGAACTTACTACGGATATTTATTAAAACAATTCAAAACTACATTTTAATCCCTATAACAAAATGCTATAATCAATATACCTATGTAGCATCTGTTATTCCCGTTTACAAGAAAGGGAACAGGATGGAAAGAAAAACAATTATCATTCTATAATAGAAAGCAACCAAGATTGCTTAATGAAGCAGCTCAGGTTGAAGTTCTTGGCCAATTTGCCATAAACCCTCAATGTCAACATTTAGTTTTTTTTGTTAATTATTAAATTTTTGTCAAATTTTCATAATGAATATTGACTTTATTGGTACCACTGGAAAGCAAGCATTTTTCAGTAGCTTTCCAACGATGTGTCACAAGTATGGGGTTGCCATTTAGGATTTTCGAAGAGGGGGGGCTGGGGGTTAAAGAGGGTGGGGGGTTGTCACTCATAACGTAATTCTGGTTCCCCTCGATACACCTGAAACGGTTTTGCACGATTTTCAATATCTTCTTTAGTTTGGAAAATATGGCCGGCGACGACTGCAAGTTTTAAAATTGACACCCTGTATATTTCAGGTACCTAATCATTTGAAATTCTTATGACAGTTATCGATTATTTACGAAGGGAGTTGGAGTGGATATGGTATTTTTCCAAATGTTGATTGAGACGATTTGACTATCAATGATATCATCAATGGAGGGAAAATTCCTCCTTATTCTTAACTCATTTTTTACCTGAGCTAGCCTGGAAAGTAAGTATGAAAGGTACATCCCAATGCACTACAATAAAAGAAGAAATCGAATAATAGTGAGGGGAATTTTATAACTCGAACTTGACAATATTAGGACAACCATTGCAAATTGGCATCCAAGTGCAGGGCAGAACTAACTAACTTGTAAGTTGTAACCCCTCAATGCACAACATTAGCGATCTCAAATCCATAATTATTTATCTAATTTATGTGACCTGGTAATCTTCCACTTTCGTTTGGTCATTGGTGTCAACCGGGTTTTCCTAACATATATAAAGAAAATAATCTTTTCACAAACCAAGCTACAACCATTGAGTAATTAAATAGTCACTCAACGCTATAACTATACAACTTTGACAAGTTGACCGCCACTCTTAGGATGGGATTATTGAAACTAAATAAACGGAGCTATTCGTAAAATGCTTTTAGAACTGTAGAAAGAGAACTAGGTATTATCACAGACAACATATACTACAAACGGTCAATGCAATGCTATAGAAATAAACGCAACACCTAATAGAGTACGGTTAGTGTGTTGTCTACCTTGAGGCAGTTGAAATAATTTGTTATAAAATGTGGTAGACGCACAGAAAACTGTTGTGTGTGGTAAAAGTGTGTAATAGATGGAGTCATTTTTGTAAAAATAAAATACATATACTCAAACCTTATTTCCTCGGCTTCAGAACGCCGGCCTTTACGTAGATAAGATAAGCGCTCACTTGTATACCTATCATAAATTACATGAAATAGGACACATTTTAATTCTTCATTTTTCTCTTTTCTAAACATTTAAAAAATTGATGGAGCGAGTTTGGTTATACAAGGGCGGAAACTAAATTTGGCCTCCACATATAAAATTATGAGGTTGGGCAAGGAAAGATTTTATTAGAATAATAAACATAATTTTTGTTTTTCCATAATAAATATATGATTATACCGGGTGGTGACTTGAACAACG